GGTAGAATTAAAGATGATCAACTTAACATACCTCTTCATTGTGGCTGGTCATAATGTAGGAGACGCAGAGGTTGGCTAAAACGATAGCACTCACATTCAGAATCTATCCATGACACAACAGAACTGATTTTTATAATTTGAACAAAGTAATAATAATGACACGCTGAGTGTTCATCTATGCAAATGTAAGATAGTATTTTATCATCAGGAAAGTTTAGTTACTCCACCCAGCCCTGTTCCTTTGGTAGTGTGCATGTACATTCTGCAGCTTAGTATCGACTGGTTGTGAGTTTATCTTGGTACTTGTATGATGATGGCACATATAAGCCCATGCATGATGAGACTACCCTTGAAGTTCTGGGAGTGGATGCAGAACTGGCCTTTCTTAGACTGGTCTGTCATCTCCTAGGTATCATTTTTGGAGAGTTTCAATCCTGTTGTCTTTACTCAACTCATGTTGTATCTTGCCTAAATCTCATTGCTTAGTGCAAATCAAACGGAACCTTGTTGGATTAGACATGGTTACATATTAAAACTTCCTTTATTTTCAATCTTGACTTTTTCAATTCTTGTAAATCTGAAAGCGAAACTCACATTGTCGTAGTTCTTCTTGACGATGGGCTCGTAGAAGCCGATGGCCTCCTTGTACTTGTTTTCCTGCATGAACAGCACGTGGGCCACATTGAGCTTCCAGACATCATGCTCATTACAGAACTCAACCGACTTGCGGAAGATCTTCTCCACCTGGGTGTAGTGCTCCATGTCCCAATAGATCTTAGCTTGCTGCATGAGGACCGGGATGTACCTAGCGAGTGGAAGATGTGAGAGTGGTATACTGATATCTGATCGGTGCGAAGGTGATTGAGGGCGCTGTACACATTGCCAAACCAGGAGTAAGTGTGATCTAAGGTCTCTAGTAATGAAACTAGTGGTTCCATTGTGATGTGTGGGTTGCACCTGTGTCCTTGTATTGGCCAAATGTCGACGAGAAACTCATGTATGAAATATGGTATTCTTGTTAACCAGCACAGTCAAGCAGAACATTTAGAATGTAGTTAAACACAGTTTTGAGTGAACTAGACCAAATAATGCAAGCATAATCTATAGATGTGGCTAGCTTTTTACATAAAAGGGGAATAAAGCATACTTCAACGATGCTGCTCTGCAAGAGCAGTGGCTTTCATATCATTACATCAACTGGTAACAATAGTTTCTTAAAACTGAGTCAATTTTGTCTTCTTTGTCATTACAAATGCCATTCTCAGCCAGCATAATGACTGAAGTAAATAACCAATTGATTCAAATTTGAAATGCCTCACCTCTCTAATGCTTCATCGTACTCATTCACCGCCTTCTTGACAGTCTCATCGTCATGGTTATGCCGTGCCTCCTGCACCTCCTTGGTCAGTTTGCGCAGCTGGTCGGTGTGGCGGGTAGCCATCTCGTCCAGCTTGCGGTATGCCTCCTCCTTTGCTGTCTGCATGGTGATGACCGCGTCCAGGAAGTCATACAGGTACTGGCTCAGGAACTTGAAGGTCAGGTGGGAGTTTTCAGCCAGGACGTCGGCTGCAAGGTCGTAGTACTGGACAGGGGGATGGAAGTCAGACAAAAAATTGTAATGCAAAAACAGTTTGAGGGGTGAGCATCTAGGTATTACTAGACTTAGCTTTCTTGGCCTGTTTTAGCAGACTAAATTCTGAGAAAATTCAGGCAATAAACACACTGTCAGATTTTTGGGCATGTGACCTGGTTTTGCAAAGCACACCTGAAATTCTTGTGTTTGGCAGGTCTGTGCAATTGGTCACTGAACCTGCCTTGCATCGAGCGAAAAAGATTTCAACTGTAATTCTGGGTGGTAGATTTCATTTGGGAAATTTTAGGAAATCACATCTTCCATGTTCCCTCTCTTTATTTCTCCTTAGAACAGGAACAAAAAGGTGACAACCAGGAGATTCAGAGTCTGATTGCCACAGCACTAACCTTCTAGTTCGGTGTTTCACTGACTCACCTCATATTTGATGTAGAGAAGAAGCAGATTGCCAAACGTCTCCGGTGGGAACGGATTCTGCTGTAGCAGGAACTGCAGCTTCTCAAAGCCCTGGGTTGGATTGCTTTCCATGTTCATCAAGGCCTGGTTGTGAAGAGTCACCGGGTCAAGTTCCTGTGGAGGCAAAAAAGAAAAATAATTACCTTTTTTTCAAGATGTATTTTTGCGTT